GCCATTACTAAAGGTGGATACCAAGACTCAGAATAAGAATGCACATTTCAGGGCTGGAGAGATGGCTCAGTGGTTAAAGAGCACTGACTGCTCTTCTAAAGGACCCATGTTCAAATCCCAGCACCCACATGGCAGCTCATAACTGCTTGAAACTCCGAGATCTGATATCCTCACACAGACATACATGTAGGCAAAATACCAATGCATTAAAATAATAAAAATAAATAAATTTTAAAAAAAAACAGAGAAAGAAATCTAAGGCTGGGCAGTGATGTCAGCACTCAGGCCAGTGGATCTTTGTGAGTTCAAGGCCAGCCTGGTCTACAGAGAGAGTTCCAGGACAGCCAGGGCTACATAGGAAGACCCTGTCTCTCTCTAAAAAAAACAATGTGATTTCCATTCTTGAGCATCCTATACTCTACACCAGATATCAGTAGCTCAGGGTCCAACTTTGGCTGTGGAGCCCCAGGCTGCCTCAAACCTTCTGCAAACACACACACACACACACACCCCACCCACCACACACACACAAACAAAGAGAGAAAAAGAGAGAGAGAGAGAGAGAGAGGGAGAGAGAGAGAGAGAGAGAGAGAGAGAGAGAGAAAGAGAGAGCACATGGAGAGATTTATACAAAAACTGATTCTAGGAACTGACAAGCTTACAGCTGTCAAACTAGACCTGGAAGAGCTCATGTTCTAGTACAAATGCCAGCAGGCTCAAAACCCACTCACAGGTCTTGCTTTGTTTGTTATTGTTTTTTGAGAAAAAGGTCTTATGTAGCCCAGGCTGGCCTTGAACTCACAATGTATGGGGATGACTGTGAACTTCTGATCCCCTGCCTCCATCTGGGATAACAGATGCTCACCACCACATAGGGTGTATTCATTGCCAATGGTCGAAATGAAGACGGAATACCAAGCAAGCCCCACTTACCAGCCGAGCTGTAGTCCAGCCTCTTGTTTTAATTGGTGACAAGGTTTCACTTTTAGCTCAGGTTAGCCTGGGACTCATAATCCTCTCAAGTGCTGGGATTGAGAAGTGTATGATACCACTCCCATCTTCAATTTGAGTGCAATTCATTTCAGATGCAGGGGGGAGAGTGATCTCAGAGCAGCATGAGTTTTCCCTTGCTCAGCCTTCTTTTTTTTTTTTTTTTTTTTTTTTTTTTTTTTGTTCTAATCAGGTCTTCTGCTGAGTGAGACCCCACCCATATCAGAGACAGTAAACCTGCTTTATTCAATGTATCTGGGCATGCCCTTAGAGACCCATGCAGGACATTTGGCCAAAGATGGGCATGCTGAAGCCCAACCAATTGATGTACAAAATTAACCTCCATTGCCTATGGGTGGCAGTTCCGTTACACTGGTAAGAAGTTCACTGTTGTGTGTGGTGTGTGTGGTGTGTGTGTGTGTGTGTGTTGACATGTGTAAATTGTTCTGTTTGTTTGATTAGTTATATTTATCCAGAGTATCCTAGGACTCCAGGTCTTTCAAATTGACTGATGCTCTCACTGACATGTCCTTTGGGGCACTGCTACCTCGGTAGAGAGAGGCCCTGGCACTAGTCAATTTGAAGTCATGTCTAAGCCTGGTCTTCACCCCAGAACTAGATTTGGAACTCGCACACCTGGAGAAGGAAGATTCCCATTCATCTTCGGGAAGATGGTGCTCCCTCCAAGGCATGGTGCATGCCCAGTGCTCCTGGTGAAGTCCTCTTTGCTGGCTGCCCACCCCGAGAACAAAGGACAAAGGTCAGAGGGAGCATGAAGGTGACTTTTTCTCAGCAGTTCCAGGCAAGGGATTTCACTCTTGAGGAGCCTATGCAAGGCGTACGCATTTCATCTCTATTAGATTTTACCCCTGTCCTGTTTAAAACAAACAAACAACAAACGCCACAACAGTTTTTGTGCTGTGATGCTTGGCACACGCCGGACAAGTATTCTGCACTGAACTATACGAGCCTTCTTTAAGTTTGGAGTGTGGGGTAAGTGGTCCTCCCCGCTAGCACAGAACGGTAGGGACGCCTTCAGCATCTTGCGGCTGTTGTCTGTACCCTGAATGCCTTGTAACAGCTTCCGAGCTATTACTGCAGTTGCAACGGCTTCCTTTTTGGCTCAGCTTTCAGTGCAGCAAACTGATCGAGCCCGATACGTGCTGGGCTGTGCTAGACACTGAGGGCAAGACTCAGACTCCTGTCCTTGTGGAAGTTTTATAGTCAAGGAAAAAACAGAGACACTAAGCAATTTCAGTAAAAGGTAATGATTATGATAGTGGAAATGTCAAGGGAAAAGGGCAGGGAAAACTTTCCCCACACATTAAGTAGCATAGAAGAAGGCTCAGAGCTTGGGCACAGAGTAAATGATGAGGCAGAATCGATGGATAGTTCCAAAGCCGGGCGCTGGGCGGTGGTGGTGGCGCACACCTTTAATCCCAGCACTTGGGAGGCGGAGGCAGGCGGATCTCTGTGAGTTTGAGACCAGCCTGGACTACAAGAGCGAGTTCCAGGACAGATTTCAAAGCCACAGAGAAACCCTGTCTCGGAAAAACAAAAAACAACAAAACAAAACAAAAGTTTCCAAGCTTCCTTTCCACAAGCAATCATATTGACTCCATGTAGAAATATTCTGGATATACAGGGTTAATGTTAACATTGATTTTTCTCATTTTTTACTTCTTGGATGCCGCTGCTGAAAATAATTCAAGACAGGGTCTCACTGTGTAGGACTGGCTAGCCTGGAACTCCTGTGTTAAACAAACTGACCTTGCATTTACAGACGCCCTCCCCAGTGCTGGAGTCAGAAGTGGGCCCAACAGAGCTTGGGTGAAAATTTAAATGGCAGGACTCATTTGTCACACAGTGGCACTGTTGCTGGCAGTGGCTCACACTTGGAGGGAGGCTTGGGCAAAATTGCAACAAGTTTGAAGCCAGCCTGGGCTACAAAGCAAAACCTGGTTTTATGAAAACCAAAGGGAGCCCAGTTTGGTGGTATGTGCCTGGGAAGTGGAGACCAGGGGGTCAGGAGTTCAAGGCCAACCTGGATTACCTGTTTCAAACAAGTTAAGGGAGAAGGGAAATAACTATCCAGACTTCATGCTTTGTGTACCAGGAGGTTTCAAGATGTTTTAAACAGAGGTGATCCTATCTGATTTCCCTTTTCCAAGGGGAAAGACTAGTTTGCAAGAGACTAGGGCCAGAAAACCAGGGAGGGGCTGTGAGATGCAGGATTAGACTAGTTAGCAGTGTGGGGCTGGCTGAAAAAACTTCCCAGCTCTGGCTACAAGACAGTCTCAAAAAACAAAACAGAAAGTGAAACCCTCCACTTAGGCTGAGACAGGGAGTCGGCTGTGTAACGTATGGTGAGACAGTTTCCCACCCCTCAAAACAATCACAACTTACCCCAGGGGGAAAGGATGGGTTGGATCATAGACTCCCCATTCTTGTCAAACAAAATGGTTAACAGCTCAGAGCTAACAAGGGCCGACTGAGTCACAAAGTTAGTTAGACGTTTATAACTTAGCGAGTGGCATACATGCCCACAAACACATACTGACAGGAATAACTAAGTAGATAAATCTTTCTTACAGAATATACTATGAATTAGCATATACAGTGGAAGAATTAGCATACCCCAGTCACCTCAGATGAGGGTTATACAAGGATGTTTTACCAACTAATCAGTGGGAAGAAGTGTTAGCAAAAACAGGTCATATGAACTCGGAACAGTGATGCACACCTAATCCTAGCACTCCAGAGGCGGAAGACCTGCTTGCTTCTTTCAGTTTTCGGAAATCCTGGGCTATCTATCCAGTAAGTTCCAGGCCAGCCTGGGCTACGGTGAGACTTTGTCTCAAAAAGTGAGCCAGACGTTAGATCAGGGGTTAAGTTGGCCTTTGTAATGTTCCCAAGAGCACTGTGAGGTTTGGGGGCCAATTAAAATAGTGGCCTTATAAAAAAAAATCACATACTTAATTACAACTGTGCATCTCTCCCGAGGGGGAGTGGCCTCTCATGCTACTAAGCACCAGTATGTCCATTGTATCTAAGGTGTCACTTCTTGGTCTGAGTGACTTTAACTTGGAGAAGCCCCTACTGGGTGACAGGTCAGCCTTTTTTTGACTGGCTGCGGCAGCTGCATCGCATGTAAATTCACTATGGTGTTCTAAGTTAGTCCAAAGCTTAGAACAAAGCTACTTAACAAGGTTTCACTGAGGGCCAGAGCTATATTTGGAGTTCAGATGATCAAAACGTACAAGCATATTTAAAAACTAAAATGAGAACCGACTGTGGTGGATCACACTTGCAACCCCTAACACTTGGGAGGCAGAGGCTTGACAGCCATCCTGGTTGACATAGGGAGACGCATCCCCAAAGCAAAATGCCCGAAAATCCCTTATCGTAACAGGCTGGTTTGCAGCACAACAAATAAAAGACCCAGAGACTGATACTGGGGTTCAAGCTTCAGAAAAGCAAAGCAGCCAAGCCAGTAGATCTCACCTCTACCTCAGCTCAGACCAAAGGGGCCATCTTCAGACTGCTCCTGACTTCACTGCTCCTCAGATTCACCCAGACTGCTATGCTCTCCTCTTGGCTAGAGACTACAATCAAAGCCTTTCCTGTCCTCAGAGTGGCTGGAGAATGGACGTCAGCTCTGAGACCCTGTTCCTGTCTTAAATACCTCTCATGAGCTCTTTTAGACTCTTTTAGACTGATTCAATCTTGTGCAGCCCTGGTTCGCCTTGAACTCAGAGAGATCGATCTGCCTCTGTCTCCAGGGTTCTGGGACAAAAGGTGGGCACCATCACCAGCTGATCTCTATAGCTTGAGGCTGGCTTTGCTTTCTGAATCCTCAGGCAGGCAAGCTTTAACAAATCATAAATATATCACCGCACTAGCTTACATATCATCTCAAAGAAATCTGGCTTCAGGTTCTAATGGGAATGACATCCACATCAGGGTGAGACGGAGAATGGACGGATTTTTAACAAAACAACAAACCCAGAGTGTATAACAAAGGAAATTCTTTATTGTAAACAAGGTATAAAGTACAACAAAAAATATTGTGCAAATTGGAACTCATGATTCTTTATAATTTTTTTTAAGAAAAAAACCTTTTTCAAGGGTTCAGGTTTGCCTGTCAGAAACCTACACCCAAGGTACAGAAGAAACAGTTTAAATGGGGTGGTATAGTGACAGTTTTTCACTATATATTTTGAACAATTTACCTTTACTACCGAGTGTATTATCCACTTTACAACAGAACAGAAATACTGTTAGCCAAAGTCATTGTTCTAGGCTGGTGGCAGAGGGCCTGCAGGACACACACAAGGCCCTGGACTCGAGTTTTGAGGGTGCTCAAACCCTGTGAAGCACATAACTGCGTCGTGAACGCTGTTTTCAAGTTGGAAGTGAATGTCCTAGTAACAATTTTCTACCTATCCCCACACCCTGAAAAACTCCTATAAATAGAGAGGAAGCTGCTGTCTGTCATGGTCATTAACTTCCTACAGTGTGTCTTTGACATGAGCATCCTTTACCGATGACAGAAAGCCATCTTTCTCAAGGAGTTATCTCAAATTTCTGATATCACCCCTTTACAATACATATTTTCACCTTCAGATTTTTCCCTAAACAAAGTGCAGAATATCTTAAGTCTACAGAAAACACATTGGCATATAATTTTCAAATCTACACAAGAAACTGCAGGCAAACTAAATCTAAATTAGAGTGAAATGCCTAAATGTTGTTGTTAAAACTTTCAAAACAAAAATGCAAAAAAAAAAAGAAAAAAGAAAAAAGAAAACCAAAACAAAAAACAACACCCCCCCTTTTTTTTAGCTGCACTTCCAAGCAATTAAATTAATGAGGGTTCCAGTTCTTTTGGCACCCCCTTAACAATGTACGGCTGTTCAACTGTAAAATACCAACAATAGTGGAAAATGATACTTGTAGATAGACTTAATAACTACATCCACAGCTGACTGGGAAGATGAGGAGTAACAAACAAGATAACTCATGGAGAAGATGGCATCCCTGCGGAACACAAACCCACTTTTTGGCTCCATCCGTCTCTGTCTGTACCGGAATTTCCAGCCTCTAGATCCTCGGAACCAATTCTTTAACAGAATCACAGCGCGGAGCTGACCTCAAGTATAAACAGCAGAAACAAAGTACCCAGTGTGGACATGACTGCAAGTCTGTGCTGACCTCACCTCAAACCTTCACAACCATCCAAGGAAGAAAAGCTTCCTCATCTCTTTACGTGGAAAGAAACGAAACCTGCCCTTCTGTGACCTGCCTGTGGCTGAAGCACTTGTCATCTAACCCAGGCTGGCCTTCCCCTCAGCCCGGGGCTTCTGCAGTAGGCCCAGGGGAGGGCCACAGAGCTGCAGAAGCATTTGTGACACCACCGCTGGCTCCTGACTGACCAAAGTTAGTTCTGACTCTTCCTCATCCGTGGCCCGTCAGTCATTGTGCAGAAGCCGGGGCTGGTGATAGAGCATTTAACTTGCTCACTTCCATTTGCCAGTTTGGGAGCTTCTTGGCTGACAGGTGGCGCCGGGCGTGCTTGGTCAAATGGTCGCTCCTCATAAACCGACGGTCGCACATAGGACAGGCAAATTTCTTCTCGCCTGTGTGGGTTCGCCGGTGCCTGGACAGTTCGTCAGAACGAGCAAACCTCCTTTCACAGCCTTTCCAGCTACAGCTGAAGGGCTTTTCTCCTGAAACAAGGAAGGCCAGACGGTTACTGCGATGAACCTCTAGAGTCTACATTCTAGAGCTAGATACGGACACGCAACTTAAAATCCAGAGCTGGTTGGTCTGTAACGTATCTAAGTATATCCAAGTATTACTAACGGATTGGTGCAATGGCACACGCAGTAAACCCCAGCCCTTGGGAGGCAGAGATGCAAATATACACATTACCAGATATGTGTGCTGCTGTTTCTGCCTCTACTCCCCAAGCGCTAAGACGGCAGGGTGTGCCACTCTCCCCGGGGACAAACTCAGCAATTCTAAAGATACTTTATCGTCCGCCAAGCTTCCAGGCAAAGCAAACCCTTTGACACACTGAGTTTGTATTTGTGATCACACTCATTCCAAAGCACACAAAGGGGGGAAAGGGGGGCGTACCTGTGTGCGTTCTCACGTGGGCCTTCAGGTGAGAACTTTTAAAGTAAGTCTTGCCACATCCCGGGTGGCTACAGACGTGACTCCTCACTCTGGATGAATCACTCTGGGGAGTGACTCTTGCTGCCGAAGGAGGGAATCCGGGCGCGGGGGCGATGGGGGACAGTCTGGTGCCGTTGGGGCTTACCACCAGAGGTTTGGGGCTCTGCACGACGGGCTGGGGCACAACGAACATCACGGTGCCCTTGGGCACCTGAGTGCCCATGAACAACACTGGTGGGCAGACAGCTGGCGGCTGGCTGGGTGGAGTGGTGGGGACAACTGTGGTCACAAGGGAGTTGTTTGCAGGAAGGGGGACCATCTGGCAGATGACGGGCACAGGCGGCATCCCCCCAGGGGGTACTGTAGGCGAAGAGACCAATACTGACTTCTGCAACGGGGACACGGGAGCTGGCTGAGACCTGCAGACGACCGTCTCTGAGGAAGGCAAGGCAAGGTCATACGGGG